CACTGCTGTTCCCACACTCCTCTCCCTCTTCCAGTTCTGGCCCAAACCTGCTTTCCCACATCCGCCAAGAAGGGAAACCATCACCACTCTGGATTTTTTTTTCTTTTGGCTCTACTACTGAAAAGTTTGGTATTGTCTCCTGAATAATTAATTTAATTATCCAAAGAAAATGATGGAACATTTACTGCTAATTTATTGCAAGCTGACATTAATTCTGTACAGAGCCCCAGGCACAGCACAGGGAGAGGCTGCCTACTCATCCTGAGACAAGCAAATGGAACTGACTACCGGAGATCACTCGGGACATTAAACACCGTGATGGATGGGACAGGCGTCTTCAGGCCTGGGATTTACAGGGCGCCTTGCACTGAACACTGCAGGAGCCTCCTCAACATCAATTAAGCCTCAGGCTGAGGGGGACCCACCTCCACTTTCACGACTAAAGAAAAGGGCATGGGATGCCTCAGTGTGAGAATGGTGTGTGGACTGGACCCACGCGGCAGGTTAAGCCCCTGCTACCTGAGCAGAACAGTTTAGAATGGAGGGTGCAGGCTAGAAGGGGTCTCAGGAATTAGGATCCATTCTCTTCGTGCTCTGCAGAAACAGTTTGTTGTGTTTCTGGGAACTTTTGAGCTTTGTCTGCCACGCTTTCTGCCCTAGAGACATCTGATCTGACTGCGTGATGGCGCCTTCTTAGTTGGCTAGGCCAATACATCCCCTGTCCCTGCCCACTAGCAAGCATGGACTGGGCCCTCTGTGCTCCCATGGGGGCCTCAGGGCAGGGCAGGTGGCAGAGAAGACTGCAGCAGAGGCTGCCTCTCACTAGCTGAGTCCATGGGCACAAGAGGGAAGCTCTGCAGGCTCCAGGTTCTCAGCTGCAGAGTGGGGATTAACACTGCACCATGTCCTACAAGCCACAAGACTAAATGAAGCCACATCGGTAAAGGACTCATCACAGCATCTGGGTAACAGCAGGCCCTCAGGTGGCCACTGTCTCGATCTACCCCCTGCACCAGACCCCCTACACATCCACAGATCAAAGCTCAGTTCACACTGCCACTGACAGATGATAAAAAGAAGACAGTGGCACAATCAAGCTGAGAACCCAGCAGTTCTGGTGACCAGCCAGGTGTCCCCCATTGCAGCTCCACACCCAGGAAGCCGGCAGAAAGTCTACCAAGGATGCCGGCCACAGGAAGTAGAGAAAGTGAAGCCCTCAGGGCCACCTTGTCACCAGTGCAGCCACCACAGAGCAAGAGCCAGAAGCCTCATGGTGCATTCTCAACTCCACTGCTGATCACTGCTCTCAGGCAGCACAGCCCAGGGGCCAGCCCTGGAGAAGTCAGGGTGGCACCACCTGTCTTTTTATCCAGAAGGAGGGGCAGTGACCCTCACTCTGGGGATTACCACCCTAGAGAAGGGTCTATAATGCACCTGACATGTCAGCTCTCAGAACACTGGCCAGCTCTGGGTGGTGCCCCCATTCTAGCCTTGCTTTGTGACCTGGGGCTAATGGCTTCCTCTCCTGGGAGGCTCATGGCTTGAGTATCTCCTACTCTTCCCCTCTGATGGGATGACATTCACGAAAGTGCTGCTTAAGCCAAGGAGGATCAGCAAGTCTTTGTGTGGACTCCCCACCAAGACTGAAAACAATCTGAAATTGCGACCACAGATCACTTGGCATGGGCATTTTACAAGCTGTCAGTCAGGCCTCCAGCTAACCAGACCCATCTGTTATGATCAATAGAATTCTCTGGGTTCCCAGTCTCTGCAGCCTAACTAATGTCAACCAAAACAAAACCCCTCAGCAAGGACAGCACAGAATGCGACCAGGGTGACCATCACTCTTAGAATGAGAGCACATAGTGTGCCCATGGCAGGGATGTTCCAGCTCAGCTCAGGCCTGGCGGCAGCATGCCTAACACACTGTCCCAGGAGGAGCATCCCTGCTCTCTGCCAGCCGTGCCCACGGCACTGGGCCCATCCCCATGGTCTCCCAGGGACCATTCCATAGCTGAAGAGCTTTCAGCCAGACCCATCTGGGCAGCAGGCCAGAAGACCCCTGCCACAGCACCCTAATCACATCCATCTCCTCTCCTCCCTCTGTCATGGCCAGGCTGCCCCGCTGGGTTTGGTGATGGGCCTTCCGCAGACACAGGCTCCCACTGCCATGGAGCTCTGCATTCATGCAGAGGGCAGGGCCCCAGGAAGCGACACAGCTCCTTGTGGAACACTAGGTGCACGGACACATTTCACTCTGACACTCAGGAGCAGAAAGTATACCAAAGAGCATGAGTATCTTTAAGGATTCAACAAGACTATGCCCTATGCCCATGGGACAAAACAGCCATGCAAGGTGTGTGGCTGTTGACCTCCTTTGTTAACATCCACATGCTCCTTGTCCACTGGCATCTGCTCACACGCCCAAGAAGACAAGGGTGGCATCCACCAAAGTTTTAGAAGAAAGTATGCAAGAAAGACTACGAGTGGCACAGTTTGATTAGCTTTGCCTGTAAATCAAGAAGAGACCTCTATGGTGTGGCTCTTGTGGTACCATCGCTGGCCCGCTCCTGAAGTGGTACTGTTCTTGAAGGGCAAAGTTTGAGAAACTGGTCCTTGGGGAAAAGTCCTCCTATCCTGTCCATGGATAGGATAAACTCTATAAACTCGCCCCACCACTACCACCCTCAGCCAATGGCCCAGCCTGCTCCTGTCCCTCACAGCCTCAAGGACCCAAGTGACCTCTGAGCCCTTTCCACTTCCGCCCCACGGAATGGCCTTGGCTTCCCGCTCAGGAGCCCTTGCTATCCACACCATTGCCTGCCCTCTGTGTCCACTTGCCCTGCTCTCATTCTTCCTGGGAGACAGGAAGTCCTCGTGGGCAGCAACTCTGCCTCCAACACCCAAGATCCCACCCACGATCTCCTGTGGAGACCAAGGCCAACTCTCCAGGGCATTTGCCCCAGGTCCTACCCACATAGCAAGCCACATCCCCACAGTGCTGCTGAGAGCATGCAGGAGCCGGGAAAACGCGTTCATGCATCCACCTAGCTGCAGAGAAGCTGGGCAAGTCCACCTTGGAAGCAGCTGGCTTGACCCAGATGGCTGGATCCAGTTCTGCTCACAAGTTGGTTCCACCCTCTCTCGGGACTCTGCCAAAGTAATCAGACCATCAAATACTCAAAGACTATGTGAAGTTAACGAAAGACCTCAAAAAACCAGGAAGGAAATCCAGGAAACACAGACGCAGTACAAGTTGCCTTAACCTCCTTCCCCCAACTGTTTCCAGAGTCCAAGGGCTAGAGGCAGGGGCACAGTCCACAGGAGCAGCTCATTTGCTTTCCAAAAAACCCCCCCAAAACTACAGTACCTCAAACTGCACCTTCTGGGGCAATAATTTGCCCTCCCCTTCTATGACTGCCCTTTGAAGGTGCACACTCAGGGGGGCCTCATGGGGACTTCTAAGCTGCACGGGATCCTGCTGGGGAAACTATGCCACACCTCTCCTTCCCTACCAGGTCCTGAAGGTGCTCACCCACCTGGTGCTCTGTATCTGAGGGTACTGTGTGCAAGTCCCCGGCCTTTGAGCTCAGGTAAGGAATCATAGCCTAGCAGAGTCACTGCTCCAGAGCCAGCCTGCCTGGCTTTAAGTCCTGGACCTTGTTTACAAGCCTTTAGAATTGAGGTGAGTTATAGAACCTCTTAAGAGTCTCAGCTTCCCCATCTGTGAAACAGGTGTAACAATGGCATCTAATGTAGACTGCTGTGAAGGGTTTCAAATGTGTAAAGTGCTGGAACAGCGCCAGGCACAAGAGCTATAGAGTCATGCACTGCCTAAGGACGATTTCTGTTCAGTGATGGACGACACATGTGACAGCAGTCCCAGAAGGTTACAATGGAGCTGGAAAATTCCCACCACAGTGTAAACAATCTGTTGTGCTGCCAACTGTGTGACAGTACAGGACAGACAATGTAGGTCCGCGGGTGTACCCTCAACGTCTGCACGAGGATGAGAGCAGTGATAGGTTCCCCAGAACACTTCCCAGCGCTAAGCTACATGCTCACGAATGCTTGCTGCAATAACGTACCCGGTAAACGCTGGCTAAGGGGACAGCTTCATGGAGCGGGGTCAGGGCGGCAAAAGGAGAGGACTGAGCAGGGCAACTCACAGCAAGGAGCCACACAAAGCCCCTGGCTGGGATCCCCTCCCAAGCCAGCCCACCTTCTGCATGGTGGCTTGGCAGCCACTGAGGTCACCATGGCTCCTCTCAAGAGCTTCCAACAGGGATAAGAAGGCAAGGTGAGCCCCTTAATCAGACCCCCAAAGACACAGGAATTAATTTCCTGAGGGTGGGTAAGTTGCTCTGCCATCTTTACTTGTCCTGTGCCCCAGTGTCCCCAGTGTACGACAGAGGGGGGCCAGACGGCCACGCTGCCTGATGGTCTACGGCTCCAGGGTTCCCACAGACACTGGTTGCAGAGGGACTCTCCATTGCTCTCCTGCCTCACTGAAAAGACGGTGACACACCCAGGATATCAACTTCTAAAGGTGCCTCGCAGCAAGCGACTGAATCAACAAGAGTCCCCGTCACCAGAGGAAGGCTCATTTGGCCACGAGACAGGCTGGAGGGCCCTCTCCCCTCCCCACTGGGTCACATTGCCACTTCAGCCTCTCCAGGTACACCTCTGCCCTCCTAGGACCCCAGCCACTGCCCATTGTCCCCTCCAGCCTGGCTGGAGTCGCCTTGCTTCCCTTCTCGACTGCGCCCCAGTCGCCCACCGCCCCTGGTGCCGCACAGGCCCTGGCTGTGCCCTGGGGCAGCAGAGAGGTCACCAGAGGTGTCCACACCTGCAACCACCCAAAGGCAGGGCTTTCAACATCGGTAATAATTCCACACTGTTTGCATAAGAGGCACTGCCTCTCCTCCCCCACCCCCCATCCCCCATTTAGGGACACAGAACTGATAAAATCTTAAAATGAAAGGGAAAATTAAATTTACCTTAAGCCAACTGAATACCCTCAGCAAAGTCAGGTCTCCTTTTGTCATATTAGCTGCGGTTTTTGCAGGACTTCAGTATGTTTAAGGTAATAGTCACGCTTTAGCCAGGCTTTTCCAACTCCAAGCTTGCCCATCTAATTCCCTTCACCTGTCATCAATCAATTAGGTTGACTAGGCTCGTGGGAACTTCGTGTTTACAATCTTGCCTAAAACGCACCTTCCACAAGCAAGGCAGCTGAAGGAAAAGTAAGGGAATCTTCCTTTCCTCATTTTCCTCTCTTTCTTTAAGAAACTAAGCACCAAGCCAGGGATTTAGCTCAGTGGTTCTGCAGCCTGCCTTCCAAGTGCAAGGACCCGAGTTCAATCCCCGGTACCAGAAAAAAAAGAAACTAAGCATATTTCTGATAGCAGCTGACAGTTTTAAAGCTGCGGCAAGGCTTTATTATAGATCTTATTACAGAATTAGAAAATCTCCAAAAAATTGTTTGTGATCACAATTTAAAAGAAACAGTAATAGTACCATTGAAAAGTATTCTGGCTGCAGTTAAAACTTTTTCCTCAAATTATAAATTTCTGATTTCAGCTGATACTTTCACATAGATTTTCTTCTTCTGGCACAATCATGATTCATTTTTTCTTCAATAGCTCAGTCATTTCAGGAACTACCTACAAAAAAACCCAACAACCAATAGTTAAGCAAGTAATTGACCTTCCTGTGGCTGGGCACAGCCCCTGGTCAGCACTGAGGCCAAGAGCAGAGAGCAAATCACTGCAGGGCCCCAGGTGCCCGCCATGAAGCCCTCGCCCTGGCTCCTCCCTCCTCACCTACGGGAGACGGGAGCACCTGGACATAGAGGGGCAGGGGGCAGGGACCAGGGCCCACTCATGGCTGGGGGCTCTTTCCCTAAAGACACTGCTGAAAACAGGCTGTTTCTGGTCTGGCTAAGAGAAGCAGTCTTTTCTGCCCTCATGCTCTCCCAGGGACAGTTCCCACACCCTACACCCTGATTCCCTGCAGAGTCCACTCCAGAGCCCTTGGACAGCCAGGCCCTGCCAACCTCCTCTGGCACCAGTTCTTGAACTGTGCACCCACCTTGTGTCCCACAAAGACCCTGGCTGCGTTCTCAGCATGCTACTGTGGTTCAGCACCGAACATTCACTGTCACCACTCATCATTAAAATCACGACCTGGGCAAGTGTGGCAGCTGTGAATACTCACAGCAAGAAACCATTAAGGGAAACTGAGTCCACTTCTGCTCTAAAAAGGTAGTTCAAGGGCTGCTTTGTAACTGCCTGGACCACAGAGGGGCCTGCAGGGGAATGACACACAGGCCTCTGGAACACCGGCCCAGGCACCTGTGTACAGTATCAATTTCTCAGCTTTGCAGCCCTGCCGACTGCCCTCGTGCACAAAGATCGCAGCTGAATGCAGCACTGATGAATACAGCCTCTCAATTATTTAAGAGAGCTACATTTCCATTAGGTGGAAATAATGTGTTCGTACAAAATTTATTAAGGAAATTGTCGACATGCTGTGTCTTCTGAATGTCACTTTGTCTTCAGCCTATTAAAAGGCCCATGTTTACCAGGGAGCCACAGGCATTTGCTCAGGGTGGCATTAAGTGCTGGCACCACGTCCCCTGCTTTCCTCAGCAGAGGGACCATGAGCTCATGCCAGTCACACAAATAACATGCTCACCCAGCCATGTGGGACCTGTGCATGTCACAAAAAAATAGGCTGGAGCCCAGCTTCTTTCCCAGGAGGTTCCAGAACTCCTTCCTGCCATGCTGCCCACAGGAGGGCCGAGGGGACTTTCTTGCTCCATCTTTTTATCCTGTTTATTGGCTCAACCTTGGCCTCACCAAGGATGCCACCAATGCCTTCTTCAGAGAGAAGAGAAATGTTTGCTCAGGTTCACTGTCCGATAGCCAGTCACACCAAAGACCTGATTTTGTTTCTATTTTCTTCTGGATACTGCAGAGTGTCCTCAAATAAGAGGACACCTAAGTTTAAAAAGAAAATAATCGAATGATATAAATCAAATTACACGTGTGTTTCACTCATTTACTTACTGCCTCCTCATAGAAATAACAAGGGAGACAGGTTTTTCTGTCACTGTGGGCCTGATCAGGTTCAGGCCTGATTCTGGCCTACAGGGAAGCTTGCTCCTAATTAGGGAGAAGAGACAAGAGGCCTATGAGCCACCCAACCAAAAATGTGCTCATCTTCTCTTATGGAATGTAGGAGGATGAGAAGAATAGCATTAAATGCTCCAAACTCAGAAGTTCTGAGAAATAAAGACCAGTATGGGTTAGGAAAATTCAGAACATCAACCTAAAAAAAAGGATCCTAGACATAAATATTTTAAAATGTGGAGGCCTGGGTCCCAACACTCTATAGTCAAATGTAGGCTTCCTAAAACACTAAAACTAGTTTGAGAACCTTGGCATGGAGATCAGCTGTCTGGCTTTTTTTAGGTCCCCTTCTACTTTGCTGCCTTGGGCTTCTTTCATTGTGACATCTGAGTACACACGCTCGCACATGCTGGCTTTAGTGTGGGAGACAGTGTGTGTGGCACTGACCATCAGCAACCGATACAGAGATCCTCCTGCAAAGGCAGACACCACCCACCAGAGGACACTGAAAACTAATGTTTAACTTTCATCAGTTTATCTTGTAAGCCTCTCATGTGAGTTATAAAAGTGTACGGGCAGAGAAAAACACACTTTAAAACAAACAAAATCATGTAAATTTATTAGAATATTCAGGTAACTACAGCAGATGTCTCTGCAAACATATTAATAAAGTACATGGTTGGGGAGGGTGATGCTTAATTCACCTTTTTTTTCAGGATTGGGGGCTTAAACAAGGGGCTTCACACTGAGTTACACCCTCAATTCTTCAACACTTTTTTTTGAGACAGAGTTCCACTACGTTGCCCAGGCTAAGCTTGAACTTGTGATCCTCCTGCCTCAGCCTCCCAGAGTCCTGGGATTACAGGTGTGCACCGCCCCACCTAACTTAATTTCACTGTTAAATAAGAATATTTACCCCTCTATTTATACCTAATAAGAAGAAATAAATTCTGGCTACTGTAACAAAGTTATTGTTGTACAGAGATACAGAAAATCTCTTTTTCATACCAGTTCCCTCTTCCACTGGGGTATCCTAGTGGACCAATGACTGTCAGTGCCATTTGCTCTGAGACACCAGGCAACAGGAGAAGCAGACCTAACAGAACCCCAGGTCATTGGAGGGGGCCATATTCTTTCTGAGACAAGATCCAGGAAGCCTGAGCCTTACTGAGCATTGCCGAGCCACTGAAGGATCCTCCCTCCATCTCTCAAGGCCTTGGGCCCATCCGAATGCTGGGAATTAGGAACCTGTACTGAGGCCCACTGCACCTCAACGTGGTTCTGTCAGGGGTCCTCGCTCAGCAAACCCATTTTTCTAGGGTGGAGACAACTTGTAGAGCCAACTCCACCACGAGCCATCTCTGTGGGCAGGTCCAGGATACAGCCAGGCCATGATGGGTGAGGACCTTCCAAGGTGTTCGTCACCTACAGCTCACTGAGCCAAGAGGACTCAGGTGACTTTCTTCATGGGAGACAAGTGCAAAGGTGGAAGCAGGGTAGAGGACTGGGAAGTAAGCGTTCCCTAACCCAGTGATGGTGAACCTTTTAGAAATTGAGTGCCCAAACTGCAACTCAAAACCCACTCATTTATCACAAAGTGCCAGCACTGTAATTAAACCTGCAAATGCAATGCTCAGCTGCTGAGGTGATTTGGCTGAAGTGCCAACGAAGAGGTCTCTGTGTGCCTGTTGTGGCACAGCTGCCATAGGTTCGCCACCACTGCCCTAACCTGTCCCCTGGGGCAGGCCTTCAGGGTCCAAACACAGCAAGCAGAGTATTTTTGCTGAGCCAGATAACCTGGCCCTGAGCTCTGTCCTTCCATGAAGAGCTCAGCACCCTCAGCCTGAGTGAGGAGGCTTCACAGTATTTCCTCAAAGGTCTGCCACGTAGGAGTCAAGGTTATAGTACTCTAGTCATGTGAGATGCCAGAGCCAGGTTGGTGTTTTACACAATCTGGACTCCTTTTCAAAGGGCAATCTAACTAAGTCGGACAAAGCTGTGTGATATGTTAATAGGACACACAACAGTTCCAAGAGGTCCTTGGATGACAATCTCGGTAACAGCAAATCTCTCAAGGCTGGCTTACCTTAAATAAATCTGCAACTATTCCATAATCTGCCACCTGGAAAATTGGAGCTTCTGGGTCTTTGTTAATAGCCACAATTGTCTGTGAAATGAAAACAGAGTATGGCTTCTGTCAAGAAAACACACCACACAGATTGATGGCTCCTCTCTTATTAATATGTCTACCAACTAAGATTAATTTGATGCTTCCATGACAATATGATGAATTTATTAGAAGTTTCTAGTTTGGAAAGTAATAAAACTATCTACCACTGGGCCGGGGATTTAGCTCAGTGGTTCCACTGCCTGCCTCAAAAGCGCAAGGTCCCGAGTTCAATCCCTGGTACCAAAAAACAAAAAAAAACTATCTATCACTCACCACTAGTCCATCTCAGTATAAAAAGTTAAAAATCATTATTTTTTATAGTTCTGTCTTGACTTATGAAAAAAAGTGAGATTTTCAGATTTAAAAAGTAACAAATCAAAGCCTTTGTAGCTTAAACCATTATGTCTTCCACTTACTCCATCCCACATTATCATTCTTCTTCTTTTTTTTTTTTTTGGTACCAGGGATTGAAACACATATTATTTTAAAGCTACTGTCCTGGGCATGTTCTGGGAACATAAACACTGTCTTGACACCTTGTTGTTAAAGGGGAACTATTTTGTTTCTTTAGTCCTTATATATGCAGCAAATATATACAATAAAATAAACAAATTACTATATCTCTTTAAAAACCAAACCTTTCTCTTACCACCTATAACAATAGTCTTACATGTGAAAGGTTATGACAGATTATTAACAGAATAAGAAAAACAGTTTGGCATTCACCATAGATGCTTCTAGAACCATTAAATTAAGTTTTGATTCAAATGTGGTATTGTTTTGACAGTGAATTATGATCATTAGAATCTCCAGAAGTAAGGTTTCTGCCTGTCAGGGTACCTTGAGAAAACCTCTGGTGTTAGTACATAAAACACTTTGATGTAGTCTGACCTAAAGTATAGGCTACATGACATATGAGTCATTTGTGCCAGAACATCTG